AAACTTTAGATAGGTAACTACTATTTTAAAACAAAAAATCACAAAAATTAAGTCACAAAAAGTTTTAATAAAAAGAATCATTACATTAACCAAAAAAATGGTTTGAGAAAATTCGTTAGTGATTTTAAGAATTTTAATGTTGTTAAAATGTTAAAGTTGTCAATCATCTCCTAACTAAGACTCTCGGTTGAAAACCTTACTCCACCACAAATTGTGAATAAAAAAAATATAATACTTCACTAATGAATCGTTGTGAAAGATAAAAATCACTAATTAAGTTTCTCACACCATTTTTTGGGTTAATTTAACAATTTTTTTTATTAAAACCTTTTGTGACATAGTAGTTACATATCTAAAGTTTTAAAATTTTTTTTATAGTATAATGTTTTGTTTAATAAATAAATATATTTTTTTAAATCGTTAAAAGTTCACAATAACACATTTAATTTGGAACTATTATTTTTGGTAGATATAAAAAAAGAAAAAAAATAATGGTTAAAATATTATTGACTTCTCACACCACTGTTTTGGTTAATGTAGCGATTCTTTTTATTAAAGTGCCACTAATTATGATTTTTAAAGCCTAAATCATAAATTCTAAATCCTAAAAAACCTTTTGACCCCTAAAACCCCTTAAACCCTCAAAATTAAACCCTAATACAACATAGTTAACCCAAACATAAATGATATAATGAATAATTTTTTTTTAAAAAGTGGCATTTTTGTAAAAATTATAAAAATGTGGCATTTTTGTAAAGTGGCACATGAAAAGTGGTATTTTTTGAAATTTCTCTTTTATTAAACCATACGATGTAATTTTTATTAATGATAAATCTATTTATTAATATTTTCACATATAACATTGTATATGTCTAGCAATTTGCTCCAAATGTTTTAATCTTCTAACCTAGATAATTATTTACTACAATAACAATTTTTTGTAATATTAAATACAAAAATAATCAATAAACTAAAATTATTGGATATTTTATCATGTTAGTTTTTAAATCCACGCAACGCGTGGACAATCTCTAGT